CTGTTAGCATCCCCATGATAACCCTAGCCCCACTCAAACTGCCTTCTGGAGAAAGCTCAGGGCTGGCAAAGACCTGACTGCTCATTCCAGTCCACACCCGTGATAGGCCCAAACATCTTTAATTAGGGCTTTATTGCAAAGGGCTTGATGGCAAGGGTGAATCCCTCCTCTGTCCTGAGATGAATTTGTACCTCCTCCAGGTGTTCTTCTCAAGGACTCAGAAGCCACTGCTCTGACATGTTGTCATCAGGAAGGCCAGGGCCTCTGTCTCCCTATCTCTGTGGGAGGACAAAAACTAACTATGGGACAGAGTTGGCTAAACTGCATTTACACCAATCAACCCTTTCTGCAGTTTCACTTTTCTGACTCATCCTAATTCCACTTGCCCCTCCCTACTTCCTTGTTTTCCCTTTGAAATGTACAGTAAGTTCTGTACAAAGTGGAACCACCCCCACCCCCCCCCACCCCCCGGCCGCCTTACTGCAATCGTCAAGTACTGATTAAAATCTGTCCTTACCAATTCAACTAGTGTGTCTGGCTTTAATTATCTTTGATAATACATGAAGTTTTCATTTGCAATTTAAGAACTAGTAGAGTTGAGAGGGAAATATATATCTCAGACATTAGTGTCTGTCTAATCATGGTGACAAAAAGAAAATTAAAAATACCACACATATCTGCAGAGCCAATTAAAGAACTTCCATAATTCAGAATGGTGTTCATGTGATCTGAACATATAACAAGGTTCACAGAGGTACAGATGAAGGCTTAAACCCACCAGTGTTCTTAGACAATATATCAGAGGGCTGTCTGAGCAAAGGCTCTGGACACCATCTGATCAGTCTTATTCCTGAAGCAAGTGATGGTGCAGGACAGAAGCTCACTGGGATTGAAAGTGAAGAGGGAGAGAGTCTTAAGCTACATGGGAATTTTCAAGGGAAATACAGATGTTTTATGTTGGGTCAGAAATTAGCCTCATACATTTGAAGTGGAACAATAACACTGACAACGGCAAATACATTTTTTATCCTCCCTGAGGACATGCTTATTGATTTTAGAGAGATAGGAATGGAGAGGAAGAGAGAGGGAGAGAAACATCAATTGGTTGCCTCCTGTACTCATCCCCAACCCAGGGACGAAACTCTCAACCAAGATATGTGCCCTAACTGGAAATCGAACCTGCAACCTTTCAGTTTATGGGAAGATACTTCCAACCAACTGAGCCACACCAGCCAGGGCTGCAAATACATTTTTTTTTCCTTTTTTAGTACTTTTTGTTTCTTTTTATTTTAATCATTGCAAATACATTTTGATATGGGAGACTGCTGAGTTCGTATCACGGGGTGGGGGGTGAGGGGTGTGATCAGAAACTGTGTACTCTTTATTTTTTCTGTTTCTTCCTAAAACTCAATCAATGTTTATTTAATGAAGAAACATCCTTTATCTAAGGAAGTTAAAATACAATTAATCTTACAGGCTTCTAACTTTTCTCAAGTTATCAGAGCATGTAACAGGTAGAAGACGTAACTTCTGGGAAGACAGGAAGCTTTGAACCAAGCATATCAAAAACATCCCAAAACAACGCATTTTTATTTTAAAAAATCGTAAGTAATTAGAAATAAGAAGATAAGCTTTATAGGCTGTTAACTAATGGAAAAATAAAGGTAAACATCAACTAAGTTCTGATTAAAAGATTGCAGAGGTCAAAAGAATAAATTATTAAGTTGCATGAAAAAACTTAAGAGCTTAGGTGAAGGAAATTAGATTTATTGATTAATATGCGCTATGAGGACATATAAATGGAATGTCTTGGGAAAAACTAGAAACATAATGGTAAATATCAAAACTTAAAAACAACATTGGAGGCAACAAAGAAAGGAGTTACCAGGAAAACTGACCAAGCAAACATGTAACACAGATGTTACACCCAAGAAAAAAGACACCATGATTATATAATATGAATTCGGAGCCTAAAGAAATACAAGCGATAAATGGCAAGAATCACAATGAGAGAGAAACTTAAAAAGGTCTAAATTTAGAATTTTTCCTAAAACAAAGCACAGATTTCATACTAGCAATTAATGAAGCACACTGAGGACTTCCAGAATTGACCCTTAGAATATTGTAAAAAATTAAAATTCCACAAAAGAAAGACAAAATAAGCAAGCACAAAGAAAGAAAAGCTGTTTAAAAAAACAGGAATAAATTCTGATTTTGAAACTCAAACATAGTAAAAAAAAGTTGCAGGCTGCATGGGTCCAGTATGGTAGCCACTAGTACCCACATGTGGCTACTCACATTGAAATTAATTTAAATAAAATAAAATTTAAAATTAAGCTCTTTAGTTACACTAACCACATTTCAAATGCTCAACTGTTCCATGTGGCTAGTGACTATCATATTGGACAGCACAAATATATAACAGCCACCATCACAAAGTTCTATTGAACAGCAACTTCTAGAGAATTGTGCTAATGAAGTTACCTTTTCATTCTGAAGACATCATAAAAATAAATTACATAGAAATCTAACACATCAAAAGAATGTGTAAATAAAATTCAACAGCACTGGGATCACATAAGAATAAATTTAACATTAGAAGTCAAGGTTCTAGTCAGGATAAGTGGCAATGGAAGGCATAGTCTGTTATTATACTGTCTTTTGTAACTCCCTTCTGTCCTCTTCATAAGATTCTTTCTATTTCATCTTTACTTAAGTGGTTCTAATATAAGTATTGGTCCCATATAGGACAAAAATCTTACAGAGAGCATCACTACTAATGAAAAAATGAGATAAGAAAAGCCATTTTAGGTAAATACAACAACCATAAAAAAATAGTTTAGGATGAGAGAAATCTGGATTATTATATATAGGAAAAAACTCCACCCCTATTAACAGAAAGATATTCAAAGTTTCTTCTGTTACAGAAACTTATTACAATTAATTTGTTTTATGTTTTTACTTGTGAAATTGTTTCATATATCCCCACCCTATTCCAAAAAGGATTTAGCATACTTAAATAAATTTATGTTGAAAGATAAGGGTTTAGAAAAAGTTATATTCCAATAGTATTTAGACAAAGATACTGGGTCCAGCCCAGAGCCTGCACGCCAAGTCACTGTCAAGACAAAGGGTGGGGGCTGCTAAGTAAGTAAAACAGCCAAATCATCCATGATCAGAAAAATTAGGCCCTGGCTGGCGTAGCGCAATGGATTGAGCGCGGGCTGTGAACCAAAGTGTCACAGGTTCGATTCCCCGTCAGGGCACATGCCTGGGTTGCAGGCCATGGCCCCCAGCAACCGCACATTGATGTTTCTCCCTCCCCCTTTCTCCCTCCCTTCCCTCTCTAAAAATAAATAAATAAAATCTAAAAAAATTAAAAATAAAGAAAAAAGAAAAAAAAAGAAAAATTAGTACCATGAAAAACCAGGGTAGCAACAGAAGGAAATTAACTTATGTGTATTTTTATAGCCTTCTCCATAATTTCATGTATATTAAAGAATTAAACATAAAAGCACACTAAATAGATGCATAATTACTGAAAATACTAAGAAGCTGATAGGACAGCACACTCAGAAGATAATGAGAAGGCAAGCTCGGACAAAGCAGGCCAAGTACTGAGCTGTAAGCAGGAAATCAGACAAACCAAATTAATAGTTTACAAGGTGTGGAAACCAGGAGTTGGACCTGATCTTGTAGCCAAGTGGTTTTCACACTGGTTTGAGAAACAGGGTTCCACAGAAGTTAATTCAGGAACTGTTGCGGGTGTAAGAGCAAGGGCATGTGAGTGTGTGCATGCATGTGCTTGTGTGTCCAATGTTGCTCTGTGTTTCATATACAGTCAGATTTCACTGTAAGATTTCATCCGAACTTATGCAAACCTTTGGCTGTTGATAGTGAAAAGCACTGAAAAACATAGATGAGTAAAATAGTCTCTACTTTCAAGCTGATTATGAATTCCATTGTCTGTGATTCAGTTTTATAAATGTCATCTTCAATTCCTGTAACAACAGTCTCTACTGTGACCACGCCATGTCCCTGCATACTAAAATTACCCTAGAATATCAAGGCCCCACAAATATTCCTCTGGTTTCAGTTACCTCCTCCATATTGTAATCCATCTCTGAAGACTTTATCCTGTCTGCTATTCATTCATACCACCAATGTTTTTAAGTGTCTTGCCAGAAACTACACTGGCACTCTACAGGCACATTAGATCCAAGTGCTGTTCTCTGTTTGTTTACTCCCTCTCAGAACATTCCTCTCCAACTTCATCCCTAAAAACCTATTCTCTGTAAAGAGGCATGGAACACACGGTACAGAACACCCCCGCACTGGAGCACTCAGTACACGTAGACTCTATTCATGCAAGTGACAATTAACTATTGAACATATTCTGAATATAACACCTCAAAAACATAATACCTTTTTATTAATAACTTGTACCCCTAGACCAGTAAGTAAATTCTTATTTGACAGTGGGGACAAATGAATATGAAAACACTAGTTGTCATGTTTTCATTGGTTGCTTCTTTTTAGAAATAAATCCCACAACACCCTCCAAACTGAACTAGAGCTCATTCAACTGATTCCTAACTAAAGCTAAAACCTAAGTGCTAAGCTAAGGCTGAATGAAAGGCAGCCAAGAATTTGATCAATTAAAAGTGTATTTTTATTCTGTAAGGCTGTCTGTTAGTCATATTAATTTTCTATTACTTCTGATCAAAATCAAGCACCAAGGAATCAGAAACACTGTGCTAGTCATAACTCTACAAGTATTTGTATTCTTGAGCAAGTCATGAATGACCATCATCATTTTGTAAATTTGTAGATGGAGAAGGCTACAGTAAATATTTCTCATTTCAAAGAACACTATAATTACAGACAATAACTGGCATTTTCACTGATAAACACACAACTGTACTTTTATTTTTGGGTTTCAGGATACTTTCAAAGTGTCTTAAATAAATTTTAAACAAAGGTTAGAACAAAAAACTTACACTTTCTGTTGTGTGTTAACAGAGCCTGTTTCAGATCTATTGTTGCTCTTCCTAATAAAGCATCTGCTTTCAAAGTGTGATGACTCCAAACACGAAATTCCAATGTGGTCTGAGGGGTCACATTTCTGTAGGGGTGAAATTATAACAAAAATATAGAATGATATACCATTATTCTAACTGCTAATTCCTATTAGTGCATTTACTTCAATTATTTTTTAAAACCATGATTCAGTTTATTTGAGGAAAAATGTTGTATGTACAATAAACTATTTGAGTCATTAGGATTTTAACAGCTAGGTAAGAATTTTTGTAGTCAGTGAACCAAAACACCAGCAATACATAAATGATATGAGATTTCATCATACTTATTTCCATTTGAAAAAATTTCTAAAGATTTAAGATAATTGATGGCATTGATTATAATACACAAATTTATAACACTATATTTCAGAAATACCAAAATTAAGAATAATTCATTTTCTGTCGTTATTTATTTTTATAAGATGGGAAGAGAAAATATGGCTACCTGGAAATAATGTACTCTATAAAGCAAAAGCAAGGATTATTATGCCTCCTCTGTCAAGGGAAGGAAATTAACTGACAATTTTTTTATATACTTTTAAATCAGGGGTATCAAACTCATTTTCACTGGGGGCTACATCAGCCTCATGGTTGCCTTCAAGGGGCCAAATGTAATTTCAACTCCGTAACAGTTAAGGAGTAGTTACATTTATACAGTCCGAAAATTATTTCATCCCTTGAAGGCAACTGTGAGATGCAGCCCCCAGTGAAAATGAATTTGACACCCCTGATTTAACGGTCTATTCATAATGGAAAATGGCAGTCACTATTACGAAGTTTCCCTATAAAATAATAATTATTTAAAAAATTACAAGAAGCATATTTCCTTTTGAAGATTTTTATTTTTTTATGAAGTACTTACATGGTTAGCTGTTCATCCCATTTTGGGTTAGAAGAACTATTGGATTTTGCTGTTTTCTTAATTTCTCCATCTACTACTACTTCTGTATATATTGCTGTTCCAAACCAGTTCTTTTTTCTTTTTAGTTTGGCACTAGAAACTAACAGAAATATGATAATCATGAGTGAATATATGAAGCCAGGAAGCAGTATAATAAATCAATAAAAATTGAACTGTGCAGCTTTTGCAACTCAAACTCTTTCCATTAAAAAATAAAAATAAAACACTATTACAAAATATAATGCCTAAGAACCATTTGAAATAAAATTCAAAAACATTTTTGATTCCCTGGCTTGTGTGGCTCTGTGGATTGAATGGCAGCCTATGAAACAAAGGATGCCAGTTCAATTCCCAGGCACGGTACATGCCTGGTTGCTGGCCAGGTCCCCATTAGGGTGCACACACAAAAGACAACCACACATTGATGTTTCCCTCCTCTTTCTCCCTCTCTGCCCCTCTCTCTAATGATATATTTTAAAACTTTTTAGAAAAAGAACTCATTTATGAATTAAAATTCAAAAATTCAAAAAGTGTTATTGGAATATAATTCACATACCAAATAGTTCACTTGTTTCAAGCATACAATTCAATTTTGCCTGTACAACCATACCACAATAGATTTTTAAAAACAGTCACTGCCCACAAAAGACACCCCATACCATTAATGGTCACCTCCCTCCTTCCTTCCAATACCTCCCAATTCCCCCATCCCAGTTTTAGGGAACTACAGTTGACCCTTCAACAATACAAGTTTAAATTTGGACATGTCTACTTATCCACAGCTTTTTCTTTTTAACATTCTATTGATTATGCTATTACAGTTGTCCCATTTACCCCCCTTCACTCCCCTCCCCCCGGCACACCCCCTCCCACCCACATTACCCCCCTTTAGTTCATGTCCATGTGTCGTAAGTTCTTTAGCTTCTACATTTCCCAATTATTCTTACCCTCCCCCTGTCTATTTTCTACCTACTGTCTATGCTACTTATTCTGTTACCTTTTCCCCCTCCCTCCTCCTTCCACTCCCCTGTTGCTATCCCTCCATGTGATCTCCATTTCTGTGATCTGTTCCTGTTCTAGTTGTTTGCTTAGTTTGTTTTTGTTTTAGGTATGGTTGTTACTAACTGTGAGTTTGATGTCTTTTTACTGTACATGGTTTTTATCCTCTTTTTCTTAGATAAATCCCTTTAACATTTCATATAATAAGGGCTTGGTGATGATGAACTCCTTAAACTTGACCTTATCTGAGAAGCACTTTACCTGCCCTTCCATTCTAAATGAAGCTTTACTGGATAGAGCAATCTTGAATGTAGGTCCTTGCCTTTCATGACTTGGAATACTTCTTTCCAGCCCCTTCTTGCCAGAAAGGTCTCTTTTGAGAAATCAGCTGACAGTCTAATGGGATCTCCTTTGTAGGTGACTGTCCTCTTATCTCTTGATGCTTCTAGAATTCTCTCCATTTTAATCTTGGCTAATGTAATTACAATGTGCCTTGGTGTGTTCCTCCTTGGGTCCAACTTCTTTGGGACTCTCTGAGCTTCCTGGACTTCCTGGAAGTCTATTTCCTTTGCCAGATTGGGGAAGTCCTTTATTATTTGTTCAAATAACTTTTCCACTTGTTGCTCTTCCTCTTCTCCTTCTGGTACCCCTATAATTCGGATGTTGGAACGTTTCAAGATGTCCTGAAGGTTCCTAAGCCTTTCCTCATTTTTTTGAATTCTTATTTCTTCATTCTTTTCTGATTGTATGTTTTTTTCTTCCTTCTGGTCCCCTCCATTGATTTGAGACCCAGTTTTCTTTCCATCACTATTGGTTCCCTGTGCATTTTTCTTCATTTGACTTAGTGTAGCCTTCATTTTTTCATCTAATTTGTAACCATAATCAATTCTGTGAGCATCCTGATCACCAGTGCTTTGAACTGTGTACCTGATAGGTTGGCTATCTCTTAGTCACTTAAAAGTATTGGCTCTGGGGTTTTGATTTGTTCTTGTGTTTGAGCCTTTTCTTTGGGGGTGGGGGGGTCTAGTCACTGCTGTTACATAGTGAGGGGCGAAGCCTTAGGTATTGACCAGGGCAGGGCAACCCAGTTGCTGGACTGTGATCCTGTATATGGGGGCAGGGTCAGAGAGGGAACAATGGCACTTGCTCCAATCTCAGTCGGATTGCAGTCCCATCTGCTGCTTCCCACAAGCAAACTGGGCCCTTCTGGTGCTGTTCCTGGATGGGTGGGCTTGTGTGCATTTTAGGACCCTGTGGGTCTCTCTAATGAACTCTCCTATGAGGCGGGGAGTCTCTCCTGGCACGTCACCCTCCACAACTGTTTTCAATCAGTGCTTTTAGCCTTTATTTCCCAGTGCTGGGGCCCTGGATTGTGTGGTCTGTCTCGCTGCCCATTTTCACCAGGTTTATCTGCACGAATGTGTGGCTGCAGCCAGCCAGCTGCCTTGTGTGCCTCACTGTGTCTCCTCACTGCCTCCCCGCACCCGTGCCAGAGGTCTGCCACCGGGGTCTGCCAGCCACCGCTTTTTCCTGCCATGACCCCTCTCCACAGGCTGCCAAGTCTGCCTCTCTTACCGGTCTGGATGAATGGCTGTCAGGACTTCTGTACAGTTCAACTTTCTGTCTGTTCTGGTTGTTTTTTTGTTTCTAAATTTTTGTTGTTCTTAATTTTGGTTGTGCAAGGAAGCACAGTGTGTCCACCTACACCTCAATCTTGGCCGGACCATATTTTTTTTTTCAATAAACACATAAAGTACTGTAAATGTATTTTCTCTCCCTTGTGATTTTAACTTTCTTCTCTCTAGCTTATTGTTGTAGGAATATAGTATATAATACAAATGGCATACAAAATATGTGTTAAAAACCTGTGGTAAGGTTCTGGTCTACAGTTGGCTATGAGTAAAGTTTTTGGGAAGTCAAAAGCTATGCTTAGATTTTCAACTATGCAGAAGATCAGTGCTCACAACCCTCAAATTTGTCAAGGATTAACTATAGTAACCTTTTTCTTATTTTCTTTTTTGTCTTTTTAAAATTTTTTTTTGTTATTATTCAAGTACACCTGTCTCTATTTCCCTGAGTACTCTCCCCAACCCAGCCATCGCTACCTCTCACCATCAATCCTACCCCTCCTTGGTTTTGTCCATGTTTCCTTTACACGTGTTCCTGAAAACCCTTCACCCTTCCCCCATCATTATCCCCTCCCAGCTACCCCTCTCGTTACAGTCAATTTGTTCTTAATTTCAATGAATCTGGTTATATTTTGCTTGCTTGTTTGTTTTGCTGAGTAGGTTCCACTTATAGTGAGATCACATGGTAATTATATTTCACCACTTGGCTTACTTCACTTAGCATAATGCTTTCCAGACCCATCCACGCTCTCACAAAGGGAAGGAGGCTCCATCTACCTTTCTACTGCATAATATCCCATCGTGTAAATGTACCACAATTTTTGATCCACTAATTTACTAATGTGCTCTTAGGCTGCTTCCAGCACTTGGCTATTGACAATTGCATTGCTATGAACATTAGGGTGCATAGGTTCTTCTGAACTGATGTTTCTGGATTTTTAAGACTATAGTACCAGCAGTGAAACTGCTGGGTCAAAAGGCAGTATCATTTTCAGTTTTCTGAAGAAATTCCATACTGTTTTCCATAGTGGCTGCACCAGTCTGCATTCCCACCAACAGTGTACCAGGGTTCCCTTTTCTCCACAATCTTACCAGCACTTGTTGTTTGTTGATTTGGTTATGATGGCCATTTTAAGTGGTATGAAGTGGTATCTCACTGTGGTTTTAATTTGCATATCCCTGATGGCTAGTGATGCTGAATATCCTTTCATATGTCTCTGGACCCTCTGTATGTCCCCCTAGAAGTGTCTGTTCAGGTGCTTTGGCCATTTTTAAATTGGACTCTTTGCCTTCCTGGAGTGGAGGCGTGTGAGTGCTTTTTATATTTTGGAGATCAAACCCTTGTTTGAGGTATCATTGGCAAATTATGTTTTCTCATACAATTGGTTCCCTTTTCATTCTGCTGATGTCTTCTTTAGTCATAGAGGAGCTTTTAATTTAGATGAAGTCTCATTTGTTTATTCACTTCTTTATACTCTTTGCTCTAGGGGACATATTGGTGAAAATATTGCTGCATGGAATATCTGAGACTTTCCTACCTATGTTCTCTAGGACTTTTATGGTGTCATGACTTATATTTAAGTCTTTTATCCATCTTGAATTTATTTTTGTGTATGGTGTAAGTTGATGGTCAAGTTTTATTTTTTTGCATGTAGTTGTCCAGATCACCGAACACCACTTGTTGAAGATGTGAAGACGCAATTTTTACTACATTTTATGCTTCTGCCTCCTTGGTCAAATGTTAATTGACCAAAGAGACATGGGTTTATTTCTGGGTTCTCTAGTCTATTCCATTAATCTCTGTGTCTCTTCCTATGTCAGTACCAGGCTGTTTTCATTACAATGGCCTTGTAATACAATTTGATGTCAGGTATTGTGTTCACTCCTAAATTTTGTTGTCCTTAATTTATTCTTCCTCTCAAAATTGCTGTGGCTATTTGGGGTTGTTCATGATTCCCCAAATTTTTGAAATGTTTGTTCTGTATCTGTGAAATATGTCATTGGTATTTTAATAGTGATAGCATTGAATCCATAAATTTCTTTGGGTAGTATGGACGCTTTGACGTTAATCTTCCAATCCATGAACATGGTATATGCTTCCATTTGTTTGTGTCTTCCTTAATTTCTTTCTTCAGGGTTATGTAGTTTTCTGAGTACAGGACTTTTACCTCCTTGGTTAGGTTTTATTCCTAGGTTTTCCTTAGGTGTTTCTTGTTCACTTTGTATCCTGCTGTTTTTCCAAATTCACTTATTAGGTTGAGTAGTTTTTTTGTGAAATCTATAGGATTGTCTGTGTACAGTATCATGTAATCTGCAAATAACAACAGTTTTGCTTCCTCCTTTCCAATTTGGATATGTTTTATTTCTTTTTCTTGTCTGACCACTGTGGCTAGGAATTCCAATACTATTTTGAATAGAAGTGGTGAAAGCCGACATACCTGTCTTATTCCTGATCTTTGCGGGAAAGCTTTTA